TAATCATTTCCATATCTAAAGTGTAGGACATCAAGTGAGATCTCAAACACCCTAAAACAAGATAACCATCACTTGTATCATTTGCAAATCTCTTACACTTACGTATCCATACTACTGAAGCTAGAGGAAGCACATGTAGTAAGCACATGTAGTAGAAAACCACAAGTTAACCAGACGCACGGTCAGTTCCAGCCTTCCGTAGACTTTGACTCAAGCTATCAAGAAAAAAGCCGCCAGGCGGGTGGCTCAAGCCTGTAATCCCAGCACTTTGGGAGGCCGAGGCGGGTGGATCACGAGGTCAGGAGATTGAGACCATCCTGGTCAACATGGTGAAACCCCGTCTCTACTAAAAATACAAAACATTAGCTGGGCATGGTGGTGCGTGCCTGTAATCCCAGCTACTGAGGAGGTTGAGGCAGGAGAATTGCCTGAACCCGGGAGGCGGAGGTTGCAGTGAGCCGAGATCGCGCCATTGCACTCCAGCCTGGGTAACAAGAGTGAAACTCTGTCTCAAAAAGAAAAAAAGAAAAAAGCCACACTGGTTAGTGTCACCCCTTGTTACTGTCCACATCTGGTGGAGAAATGCTATACTTAGGAGCAATGAAATGGCCAAAAGGTGGCAGCCAGACCAGGGAGGAGAAGAAGAGGAGGAACAGAGAGCCTTCCGTTCACACGCGGGGTGAGCCCTCTCTGGTGATCTGGAGTTGGCTGAACTTCCATCAAGACAAGATCTTTTTCTCTAGGTCTTCCTCCCATAACTAAATAAGCATTTCATATCAATTGCCAAAAAAAAGATGTGAATTGACTTTGCCTAAAGCATCATGCTGAGCACCATGGATTATAACCTTACTTTCCAATAGGTTTCATGACTTATTTGTGAGGGTCTGTACTGTTTAAGATGAGTCAGGAGCATAATAAATGTTTAACTTTCCCTTATACTTTCTGGGAAAAGACCAGAAAAACTTTTAATTGACTATTAATTTGTTTGGAGCTTTAAAAATCTTTTTAAAATTTTTTATATGACTAAGTTTAATAATAGCTATGCTATTTTTTTAAAAATTAAAGGTAATCCTTTTCTTTAGCTATTGTCCAGAATGAAACAGATATTGCATGGAGACACTGGGAGGAGCTGAGGAGGAAAGAATCAGGACAAGAGTATACCACTGCGGGGCCGGGCGCTGTAGTTCATGCCTGTAATCCCAGCACTTTGGGAGGCCGAGCTGGGCAGATCACTTGAGGTCAGAAGTTCAAGACCAGCCTGGCCAACATGGTGAAACCCCATCTCTACTAAAAATACAAAAATTAGCCAGATGTGGTGTCATGGGCCTGTAGTCCCAGCTACTCAGGAGGCTGAGGCAGAAGAATTGCTTGAACCCAGGTGATGGAGGTTGCAGTGAGCCGAGATTGCCCCACTGCACTCCAGCCTGGACAACAGAACGAGACTGTTTCACACACATGCACACACAAAAACTATACCACTGCAGAAAAACACATCTGTGGGATCACCAGAGATTTGTTTGTGCCTATGACTTTTTCATTTGGCTCTTCTTAAGTAATAAATGGGATGCTTCTTTTATAGACGGACTCCTGGAGTGATTGTGTAGTAATTTTCAAATTTTATTTAAGTTGAGAAAAATGCCAAGTTATAGGAAAATTTTGTGTATAGTTTAGGAAAATCCTCCCTTTGAATCTTGTAATGGAAATGCTTGCAGTGAAATTTCATGTCAAAGCAATAAATAGCAAATAATTATGAGAAAAATTAAAGGTTTCTTCTCATTGACCTTCAGCCTCTGGATTCTCTGGTATTTGACTGGTCATCTATCTTGTCTACTATTAAAATTATCTTTCCATTTCTTACCATCCTCTCTCAACTTCTATTTCTTCATCATATCAAACATCTGTTTTTTGTTGTTGTTATTTTTTTCTTTTTAAGACACGGGTTTTCACTTTGTGGCCCAGGGGAGTCCAATGGCACAGTCATAGCTCACTTTCTCAATCTCCTGGGCTTGAGGGATTCTCCTGCTTCAGCCTCCTGAGTGACTGGGACTCCAAGGCACGTGCTAGTGCACCTTGCTAATTTTGTTTGTTTTCAGAGACAAGGTCTCACTGTGTCGCCCAGGCTGGTCTCAAACTCCTGGGCTCAAGCCATCCTTCTGCCTTGGCCTCCCAAAGTGTTGGGATTATAGGTGTGAGCCACTGCACCCAGTATCTTTAACCATATTATCAGCCTTGTCTCAGCCTCTTCCTTCCTACCCTCACCTTTATTCATAACCTTTGCCCCCAGCACACCTTTCTCCTGCTTTGTGATTCTTTTCTTGCTAGATGACCTGTACATAGCCACCAAGCAGCCCTCTGAGCTCCAGACACTCCTAGCAATTACCCCATCTTTCTTTTCTCCCTCATATATATATATATATATGTATTTTTTGTTTTTTTTTGTTTTTTTTGTTTTTTTTTTTTGTTTTTTGTTTTTTTGAGACGGAGTTTCACCCTTGTTACCCAGGCTGGAGTGCAATGGCGCGATCTCGGCTCACCGCAACCTCCGCCTCCTGGGTTCAAGCAATTCTCCTGCCTCAGCCTCCTGAGTAGCTGGGACCACAGGCACGCGCCACCATGCCCAGCTAATTTTTGTAGTTTTAGTAGAGACGGGGTTTCACCATGTTGACCAGGATGGTCTCGATCTCTTGACCTCGTGATCCACCCGCCTCGGCCTCCCAAAGTGCTGGGATTACAGGCTTGAGCCACCGCGCCCGGCCTTATATATGTATTTTTTGAAACAGAGTCTCACTGCGTCGCCCAGGCTGGAGTGCAGTGGTGGAATTTCAGCTCACCGCATCGTCCACCTCCTGGATTCAAGCAATTCTCTTGTCTCGGCCTCCCAGGTAGCTGGGATTACAGCTGTGCACCACCATGCCCGGCTAATTTTTGTATTTTTAGTAGAGATGGGGTTTCTCTATGTTGGCAAGGGTGGTCATGAACTCCTGACCTCAGGTGATCCATCCACCTTGGCCTCCCAAAGTGCTGGGATTATAGGCATGAGCCACTGTGCCCAGCACTCCCTCACATCTTCCTGGACTATTGCTTGAGTGAAGATCACTCTAGCCTACCGTAGACTACCAAATAATTTGAATGACGTCTTTTATATTGAGGTTCACTCTCCCATTGCATTTCTTCTATCTGTGTTTATACTCTGCCTGCTACTTCTAGGTGAGCCTCACTGCTAGAAAACTGAGTGACCACTATATTCTGCCTAGTGACTTATCAGACAGCATAGAATGTTGAGTATCTGCAGTGTGCAGAGCTCATTAGTGCATATGTATTGACATTAAATCAGAGTACAATAATAATAATGAACAATAATGAAAATGCCACAAAAAATATTGACACCAAACATATTCACCCTCTCTCCTATGATTCTCTAAGTAGAAACATAGAGTATTCTTTTTTTTTTAATTTTTTTTTTAAAGATGGGGTTTCACTGTGTTGGTCAGGCTGGTCTTGAACTCCCGATCTTAGGTGATCCGCCCGCCTTGGCCTCCAAAGTGCTTGGATTACAGGCGTGAGCCACCATGCCTGGCCCCGAAACATAGAGTGTTCTTGAGAGAAAGAGCTGAACTTGGTTTCTGTTATAATATTTAGCATTTTTGACTCTAAATAGAGCATTAAGTGGAGGAATTTTAATTGATTTTATTTTTTTCTAAAGAGCAGATTTTCAGTGTAGCATAGAATTTGACTTAAGTACAAACATGCTTGTAACTTATGTAATTTAAGGTATGTAATGGTGAGAACTGAAGATCGTGTGTGTTTTTAGTTGGATATGCCCTTTTAAAAGAGAATGTTTCCATTTTATCATTAGTCTAATAGCAATTTTTAATTCATTAAAGTTTGAAAGATTGGTAATTTTTAGATTAGGGAGAAAACATTTAATACATCATTTAATGAAAAAAAAACTACCAAAGTATATCTCTATGTTGCTTTTTTAGTTTTCATATGAAGGAGGGTTAAAAGGGAACTTTCCATAGGAAATTAAAATAGTTAATGTGTTTGGCTGGCATAACTATAGGTGACCTACCTTTGTTGTGTTTTGGTTTTTCTTTTTTTCTTTCTTCCTTCCTTCCTTTCCTTCCTTCCTTCCTTCCTTCCTTCCTTCCTTCCTTCCTTCCTTCCTTCCTTCCTTTCTTTCTTTCTTTCTTTCTTTCTTTCTCTTTCTTTTTCTTGTGTATGTGTTACCTTATTTCTCTTATTATTGTAGGATATTATTCATGCAATAACTAATATTCAGGGATGGGGAGAAATCTTGGGATCTGTAGTTTACGATAAATCTCAACACTTTTCTTGCTTCTGGCAAAGACTGTGCCCTTACTGTTTCCAGTATTTGGTCTTAACCCAACTGTGTCTCTTTTGTTATCAGCCCCTGAAGTCAGCATATAGTTAATGCTGCAAATGGTACTTTGAGATTTGTGCAATATAGGATTGTAAATGCCTCACAACACCATTCCTTCCATTCTGACAGTCTGGGAAGCAGTATAGCAGACAGGTTAAGGGCAGCTATGGACTTATGTGCTTGAGTTTGAATCCCAGTTTTCTCAAGTACCAGATATAATTTGGGCAAGTTACTTGACTTTGTGTTTATGTTTATTTATGGATAAAATGGGAAAATAGTGAAATCTAGGTTGTAGAGTTGTAATGAGGGTTAATAGAGTAGACCTAGGAAGAATGTTTAGTGACACATCAAGTGCCCATTAAATGTAGCTATTTTATCCCGCTTGTTTTTCCTGAATTCCTAGACTTTGAAGTGTTGCTGAAGGTATTTTCTAGGCATCCCTATTTAATTAATTTGTTTATTTATTTGGCCTTCATAAATGAGATGAGAATCGCCAATTTCTGTATGCTGTGCTCATTGGAATATGCTGACTGGGGATCGCCTGCTCCTTTTGCAGAAATTGCCCTGTCTTTTCCATCTCTGCTCACTGAAATAACCTTCTTCTTTTCCTCTGTAGATATATGTAATCG